GCGCATTTGACGTGCAAGCGGGATGACCCCCCCCTACTTGGCCGTAGTAGCAGACGCGAGAGGGGAGGCAGGAAGCTTGCGACGCGACAGAGAGAGGGCCAGGCAACCGTAGCCTCCGGCTCAAGCGAGCCCAGCAGCAGAGGCACAAAGAAACCATTGCGGCTCAAGCGAGTTTCGCAGCGACAGCAAGCCAAACGAAGACCATTAAGTGGCTTCGGGAAGGCCGCAAATGAGGCCACACTCTGGGGGACCACCTAGTGGCTCCACACTCCGAGTATCCAGGATCTCGCATTGGCCTCCCAGGAAGTGGGTGGTATTCCGTTGGGCGTTCTCCCTGGAGGCCGGCCTCCCCGAAAGTAGGTCTGACTTTGGGCTCGGGGGGAGGCCTGCCTTCCTTCCCCCGCTTGGGAGAGGACCTGCTGAAGCCAACGGAAGAATCACCATCCACCTATCCTCATCAATCTTGGGCGCAATACAATGAACAGCTGATAAGGAGAGTGGGGTGGGGAATGCAGAAGACGAAACTCGAAACTGATTTCCCAATTGGGGGCACGACGTGCCCACACCTTCAAGGTTTGGATCACCACCGCCGCAGAGGAGACTTATACGTCTTCCTACCAGGTTTGGGGGGACACGGCCTAGGAGAGATTAAGTTTCATGGGGATGGTGAGACCTGTCATTGCAGCCGCGCCTCTCGAGAGTTTCCTGGGGCGCCTGACCGTTCAGCGCATTTGACGTGCAAGCGGGATGACCCCCCCCTACTTGGCCGTAGTAGCAGACGCGAGAGGGGAGGCAGGAAGCTTGCGACGCGACAGAGAGAGGGCCAGGCAACCGTAGCCTCCGGCTCAAGCGAGCCCAGCAGCAGAGGCACAAAGAAACCCACCCCCACCCCCAACAGACCCACCACCAGGCACCGCTAAGCGGGCCCGAGGGACGGGAACGGGGAAAATAATCATCTGCCCCTCCACCTTCGTCTGACGGCCAGCGAACAGCAGCCGCGACGGGGAACGAGGGGGGAGCAAGCAAAAACCCGCACCACCGCGCACCGCCAAGCGGGCGTGGGGGACGCGGTTCGGCGCAGCTGCTGCTAAACCCGCGCCTCCGCCCCGTTGCCCTGCGGCCACGGCGGGAGGTAGTAGGAACACAGAGGCAGCTTCGATGGAGAATCCCCACCCCGTTTTGGAGCAGAGCGGGGACGAGGGCCTGCGCGCCCCGCTGGCGCTTCTGACGCCGCGCCTCGAAAACGCAGTGGAGACATATTGCGCTGCGTCGGGCGATTCCGCCGGCGCCGTGCGACAATGGCTGGAAGCGAATCATGTCACCTCACTGCTGGTGCTGGAAATCCTGGCAGACGAGCTTGGGGAACCAGACCCCGAAACAGACCCACTGCGACCACCGGCGGGCTTCTTTGACCATGCCCTGGATTTGGCAGAACAGGCGTACCTCGCCATCAAGCACGTGGCAAAAGTCCGAAGGAAGCATGCCACGGCCGACCTCAAAGAGGCGGCACCGCTGCGCACGGTTGAAAACCTGTGCACGCTGCCCGCGACGGGGGCACAACGACCCTTCAAAAGCTCGCGCCCGCGCGCAGAGCAGCAGCGCGACCAGGAGAGCCTGGACGCGCGCGAGCACGAGACGGCCTGCATCTCGTTGACTCAGTGCGCCAACACAGCCAGCGCTGCGCCCGCATGGATGATTGCGGATTGCCGATTGGGGACCAGCGCAGGCTACTGGCCGAGCTGCTAGGGCGCAAAGCGCGAGTGGCGAGCACGGTCAGACAGCACTCCCGGCATGTCCATCGATTCATGACGTGGCTGGAATCGCGCGGCCGCCAGGTTGCAACTGTGACTGAAATCGACGTCAAGGTGTATTTGGACGAGCAGAAGGAGCGGGGACATTCTGTGCCCGGTGCTGCGTTTTCGGCACCGCGCTGGTTTGACAACGCAATCCAGATGGGGTGGCCGCTGCAGGACGAGCTGGTATTGACAGCCGTGACAGAAGCGCACGGAGCGGCAGCCGCCACGAGAGTGCAGGCGGAACCGTTCACGCAGCTGGTAGTGGACAAACTCCATGACCTCTTCTGGCGGGCACAAGGGGCAGAACGATGGATCACAGGTTTCTACATCTGCCTCGCCAGCGCTGTGCTCCGCTGGGGAGACCTCCACAGATCGTGGAACCTCGGGCTCACGCGGGATGCCTTGTACGGCACGTCGTACCGCATGAAGCGGAAAACAGCGCCGACCCCGTGGGCGGCGTTGCGGTACGACGCTGGCGGCCGCGATTGGGGTGGGGCATGGCACGAGCTGACCAACGCCCTGACTCCAGAAAGCGACCCAGGCCAACCACGGAAATGGCTCTGGCCGGCGGTGGAGCACCCCGGGGAGGGTAGACTGGAAGTAGCTGCCCCTTTGAGGAAAGGTTCCTACCACAACTGCTTGCGCACCCTGCAGGTGATCCTCCGCAAGGCAGGAGTGCAAGACACACCGCGGGGGTACACCCTCCACTCGCCGCGCTTCTACATGCCGGCGGTGGTCCGGCAGATTGGTGGCACCAGGGAGCAGGTTGCAGCGGTCGGTCACTGGGCGGACGGAAGCCAGGTCCCTTTGCAATACGACCAGGCCAGGTGCTGCTCCGAACTGCTGGTGAAGGCACAGGTCTTGCAGGCGCTCCGGAACGGATTCCGACCGGCCGGAAGCTTCGAAGTGCCTCAATTCGGCGGGCCGCGTGACGTGCACCCACCGCCCGGGCAGCTGACCGAGGGCACCCTCGGGGACCGCAAAGCGGCCCCTGGGCTAGACGCGGAGGCCGCCAAGGCAAGCGCCGGGCACCAGGGCGACGTCCAGGACAGAGACCCAGAATGGATATTGAACGTGCGGTCGGCCATGCTGCACAGGAAGCACCCGTCTCTGACGAACCGCAGCCTATGCCCGTACGTGCGCAATTACGAAAGCCACAAGAATTACCGGCTGGTCGCCTCCGGAAGCGAGTTGGACGCAGCATTTTGCGCCAGCTGTTTTGGGAAGGCGAAGGCCGTGGACATGCCTCAATGGAGCTCGCCAGAGGACTGCAGCGGATCTGAGGGTGGGGCCGCGCCCTCTGACAGTGACAGCAGTAGCCCTGCTGAGTCCTAGCGCAAAGAGGCGCGAGAGACCCCTCCCTCCCCGTCACCCCTGGACCTCCTTCTCCCCTCTGCTCGAAAGGCAATCAGGAGCATGCTTCAGGTGTAGCATCATGGGGTAGGGGGAGACGAAGGAAGTACCCTCTGCCACTGAGCGTATTGACCATGAGACCCTAATTCTTTTGACGTCTGCAAAGGAAGATATGGTTGTCAAATGTAGTATGTACTTGTAGACTTTATTGCCGAGGCCATCGCTGATCTATCGATGATGCATGCATACCCCCTGCCACTGAGCGCATTGACCATGAAACCCGAATTTCTTTGACATGTTACCTCGATTCTCAGAGGAACGACTAAGACATCAGGACGGAGGGGTCGCAGGGCAGACCGCCGAGAGAGGCAGCATATAATTGCGCCCGCAGCGCGGCCCCTGAGGCTCGAACCAACCGCCGGCGCTGCTTGGTCCGCCCGCCCGGCGCGGGGTGGGCAGGCAAGGCAGCATGGCCAGCTACGACGATGCTCTCGGCCGCCAGCTGGACGTCAACCTCCGGAACCTACTGGAGGAATGTCGTGTCCAGCCGGAGATCGCACAGTGGCTTGTGGAGAAAAAGATCACCCAGGTCGGAGCCTTCTCAGACTTGGCGGACAGCAAAGAGCAGATCGTCAAGGTTCTCCACATGGCTGGTGCGACCATTGACGTGGACGACCCTGTGAAGTGCCAGCCGGTCAAGACCGCCTTCAGGCGCGCCCTGGCCATCACGAAGGCCGAGGACGACGCGAGGGCCCGCGGCGAAGTCATCGACCGCGAGGCGACCCTGGGGTCCGAAGACAGGAAGCGCCTCGACAAGAACACGGCGCAGCACTACAACTTCCAGTGGCCTCAGACGATGCTGGTAGACGATGCGACCATGGGGCGCCTCATAAAAATGTTCACCAAGAAGACTCGCTACGTCCCCCGGCTGGGGGAGATCCGAAACCTGATGGAGAAAGGACCAGTCCACGAAGGCAAGATCCTGCTTGAGATGTCCACAAACACCGGGCATATCCGGGGCCTTTCACGGGCTCCGGAAGATGCAGCCATTGGAGGGCTTATTCAGTTCGGCCGCCGGCACATGATGCTCATGGTGGGCTACGCGCACGCTGCGGGCCCTGACTGGGAGAAAGCAAGCCTCACGACGCTCCTAGACTACCACGAGTGGGTCATGAAGAAGGCCTACGAGGGCGACCGCACCCGCGAGAAGATCAAGCGCCTGATGGACGCGGACTACGAGATGAGGACCAAGTGGACGCTTGGTTACAGCACCGAGGAGCATCCGACGCTCACGGCAGCTATCCAACACCACCGCTCCGAGAGCGCCTACCTTTTCCAGGATATCAACAAGAAGACCAACACCTACGGACAGTACGAGCAGAACGAGGACAACAACCGGAGCCGCGCCAGCTCGGCCAAGGGTTACCCGAACAACCGGCAGCACCAGAGCCGCGGCCGGAGCCGCAGCCGGCGGCCGGAGACGAGCGACAAGCCGTTCATGCTCCAGAAGAAGACGCCCAGCGGGGCCGATATATGCGCGTTCTACAACAAGGCTGCGGGGTGCAAGGATCCCAAGTGCAAGCGGGAGCACACCTGCAACTACCCAGGTTGCCACAAGCGGCACACCCGCTGCGACAACCACCCCACCCACCCGCCGAAGCGGAACTGAGCGGGGCTGCCATGCAGCCCGGGGCCCGCGGCAATGTGCCAAGTGGTGCGGAGGTACCCCGGCGCTGGGCGAGAGCAGGCAGCGAGTGACGCTACCCAGGGGGAGTCGAACCCAGGGAAGCAGACAGCTGATTGCTCTCATGGCACCAGTGGTATCGCTGACTCAGACACTGGCGGCGCGGCAACGACAGTGCCGTCGCGCGGCCGGGGCCCAGCCAGGCTGGCCCGCGTGGCGGCCGCGGGCGACCAACCGACGGGGCAGGTGCGGCTGCCCCTAGTCCCCGGCGGGGCGGGGCCGCAGCAGTTTCTTGCTGACATGACCCGGGTGAAGCACCCGCTGGAGGCGCCGCCTCCCCTGCCGCAGCGCCTGGCGGACGCGATGGAGTTCATCGCCGCCAGCACGGAGGGGGAGATCATGGCCCTCCGGGAGAGCATCATGCAGGACATCCGGCAGCTCGCCCGGGACCTCGAGGAACGGCCCGCCAGGGCACCGACGGGGAAACGAAACTAAAGGGAAGGGGGGGCATGAGCACTACGAAGGGAGGAGACAATGGAACGGCAACGCCCACAGGGCGGAGGGGAAAGGGGGAAGTGTTTTTTCTTACACACACGCACACATTATATACACACAAATGCAGGCGAGCAGCCGCAACAACCAAACACCCGCTGTCCCTCTACCTCCAGGTGCCTCAAAGGGCACGCCGCCGTGAATTGTCCGTCCCCCCTCGTAGGGCAATGCCGCCCCGCCCCCCCCTCCCCCTTCCTGTGTGCCAGGGGGGTTTATGAATTCGCCACCTCCGCCCGTCCCCCTTCGCCGCACCTCCCCCCAGACGGTTCGGGCGCTCTGGCGGCGTGGTCCCTGGACGCAGGGAGCGCAGTTGTCCGGGGGACAAGGGGCGCGAGGGAAAAGGAAGCAGGAGGGGGGGGGGGCGACGACGGGGTGGCGACAACGACGGCGGCGAAGGCGACGACGATCAGGGAGCCGACCGCTGGCCTCCAGCACGCCCTCCCGGGAAGGGCGTCGCGGCGGAGAGCGGGGGGGGCGGTGGCGCCAACTTGGGGGGGTCATCTAGCGGCCGGTTCCGCATCCAATCCCGCGTGCTGGTCCACCGTCCCGCCCCTCTCCCCCCCCCCTCCCTCCCCTGCCCCCCCCTGCCGAGGTGGTCTGGTTGTGGTCCGGACCATGTCCGTCTTCGCCTCTGTCTGAACTGCCCCTCGCCGAGAGCTCTCCGGAGGGCGCCCGGAATACGAAACTCTGGGAGCTCGCATGTTTTGACGCGGCTTCAGATGCACGCCGGGGAAAGGATTGATGCCGCGGGCCCAGAGGCCCGAAACCGTCCGCAAGGTGCGGATCGGTTCATTTTCCCGGTTGCGGATAAGAGCGAGGGGGAACGTGCCCGTGGACAGCGTAAGAAAGACAGGATTTGGCACGAGTTTGTTTTCAGAGGGCCGTCTGATTAATGCTCGGGGGGAGGCCTGCCTTCCTTCCCCCGCTTGGGAGAGGACCTGCTGAAACCAACGGAAGAATCACCATCCACCTATCCTCATCAATCTTGGGCGCAATACAATGAACAGCTGATAAGGAGAGTGGGGTGGGGAATGCAGAAGACGAAACTCGAAACTGATTTCCCAATTGGGGGCACGACGTGCCCACACCTTCAAGGTTTGGATCACCACCGCCGCAGAGGAGACTTATCTCCATTTTTAGCTCGGGAGGTTCGAGGTTTTGGAGGTTGAAGGTTCGAGGTCACCGCGCGGTCCGTGACCGCACCGTGTTGGGACCCCCAAGACGAGGTTGAAGGTTCCCCGTGGCCATTCTGGCTCAACGGCTCAAGGGCTAACTTGTGCGCGACGCGTGCTTGCTGATTGGCCATCACCCTGCCAGCATATGCCCGTGTTCATGGCGACGTTTCCAGGCGGCGATGTTGTCTTCGCCGAGCCAATTAAGGACAAGATGGCACGCCCCGGCTCCCAAGCCACAGAAAGCTTGGTCCCCACGCGGTGCCCGTCGACGGAGCTGCTGACCTTCGGCCGAATCGATGACGACCACGATGCCACCGCGCCGCAGAAGGGCGGCGACGAGCCGGCGCTCCTCGAACCAGTCGTGTACCCGGGCAGGGGGTGGTCCGCGATGGCAGCGGCGCAGAAGGAGGCCCCCCTCCGGCGCCTCCGGTCCGAGGCGTATTGGGAATTGAAGGCCGCGTCCCGCCAGCGGACGAGGTGCGCGCCCTGGGAGATGGGCATCAGGCAGCGCAGCGCGCTCTTCGAGGAGGACCTCCGCGGGACGGCGGCGGCCGCGATGCCCGCGCCGGAAGACGCCGAGGGCGCCGCCGAGGGCGCCACGTGCTGGGCGGGTGCCATCTCCCGGGAGCTGCGCCGCAGGGTGCGCGGGCCCGCGCCGCGGCCCCGAGCGTCTGCGGCCGCCCCCCCGACGTCGCGGGTCCGCTCGTGCAGCTGCGCCTGAGGCCCGCTGCGCAGGGGTCCCCCAGGGTGGGCTTGACGATCGCCGTGCCGTGATGAGGACCTGGTCGCGAACCGAGCGACCACGGCAGAGTATTTTTCAAGCTAATTACCTGCATGATCCGCAGCATACCCTATGAATGACAAATACCTGGTCGCGAACAGGGTGGCCACGGTAGCGGGGCAAGATCTGTTTCTTTCAGGATTGTGTGCATGTCTCGTCTTCTTACAGGTTCAACAAACAACTAGCTGACCTTGAAAGAAATGGATCTTGACCCGGGAATCAGAGTGTTCGCGCGCGTCCAATCCGCGTGGCTTTTGAGATGACTTTCAAGGCTTTCAAGACATTGTTTGAAAAGAGGTCCGCTCGGAAGGCATTGGCCTTGCTAGCAGACGTCGGCGCAGAGGTCTGGACAGCTTGGGTGGAGCTGTTTCGGTTGAGATTGCTTCGCAGTCGGCAGCGCTTCGTTTTTATACTGTTTCTTGTTTTGTGCTTGTTTTTCCCCTGTGGGGGGTGATGCAAGGGTTTTTTTCGTGGCGCCCTTGATGCAGTCAAGCAGCGCACCGCCTGGACCCCTTACTTGCGCCCCGCAAACGGGCTCCGCCCGCAGTCCAGGAGTGCGATGGCGGCGTGCGAAACTGCTGGAGCATGGCGCATATGCACACTCTGCTTGCGGCTGAGCAGAGTTGGCTCGCGTTTCCCAGATAGGCCTCGAATGTACAGGATGACGCGTCGCCTCAACTTCGCAGGCTTGAGGCCGTACGGGGCAAGGAAACATGTATTCAGCGGGTGGGAAGGGTGGGGGACGTGGCGGAACAGACCCAACCACACGCGTTCGTCGGACAGTGGTTTCGCGAGGGCTTTGCGTTGCTGCCTTATTGGAAGCAATGTGGGCCAACATGGCTCCTTTACATGTCCCGGTGTTCCTAAGTCTGGTGCATGCGCTGGCGTCCATTTGCGATCGTTCACCGCTGAAGAGCTTTTTAGCGTTGATAAGAGGCATCTATAGGATGACCCTTCAGACGCACCTTTTTACCGCATCGGTAGTTGGCATGTGGCGCTCTCTTGGCGGTTGCGCTGGAAGGTTTACCAGAGCCTGGCTGGATCATAACGACGTCGGTGACGGGGTTGGCGGCGTATGTATGAATGCCGTTTGTTTGGATTTGGCGCGCTGGCCCAGGTCGGCGCGCCCCCGAGGAATGCAGCGTGCATGCAGGATTACCTTTGAATCTGATATTTCAAACCGCGCTCTGTGCGCAAAGCTGTGCCTCGAGTGTGGCCAGGGATGGCGACGCTCCTGGCGCATGCGCTTGCATACCGCAGCTCCAGCAACGTCGACCAGGGGCCTCTCCGCCGAAAACAACTGGCCTGACGAAGGACCCAACCATATGCAGTTGCGAGTACCGCATTGTGGGTACCAGTTTCGGCGGAGCTCCCTATGGGACCACGGAACGCTGTACTGGGTGGCGGTGACACATGCGGCCTGTGCCACTGGAGCCCTCGGTGGAGCTCCCTATGGGGCCACGAAGCGCTGTCCTGGGTCGCGGTGGCGCATGCGGCCCTTGCCACTGGAACCCTCGGTGGAGCTCCCTTATGGGGCCACGAAACGCTGTCCTGGATGGCGGCGACGCATGCGGCCTGTGCCACTGGAGCTTTCGGTGGAGCTCCCTATTGGGCCACGAAGCGCTGTCCTGGGTCGCGGAGGCGCATGCGGCCCTTGCCACTGGAGCCCTCGGTGGAGCTTCCTTATGGGGCCACGAAGCGCTGTCCCGGGTGGCGGCGACGCATGCGGCCTGTGCCAGTGGAGCCTTCGGTGGAGCTCCCTATGCGGCCACGAAACGATGTCCTGGGTGGGTGAAACGCAGGGAGATGACGAAGCGGATGGGAGGAGGAGGTGGAGGAAGGAGGCGGGCGGCGGGAACGCGGGGCGCCGTCTCTTCAAAACGAGGACCCGACACCACAGGATGGTTGGGACAAATTATCCTGGCGAAGGACCCAACCATATGCAGTTGTGAGTACCGCAACTGTGCGTATCTTCTTCTGTGGTGCCCACGAACCGTATGAGGGGCGTGCCGACATGTGGCGGGGTACACAACACGAAGGCAAACGATTGGTCTAACTACGAGAGACTGAGCGCGGGTGAATCTGAGCGCGAGTGAGTCTAAGTGTGAATGAGTCTGCGTGCGAGCGAATATATTTGCACGAATGCGATCATTGCTACGCCTCATGTAAAAGTATATGAATGTGAATGGTTCGGGTATGCCTGTCTGTGCACTCGTGACACTGAGCGTGGCCGCCGCAGAAAGCTTCCGCGGGAACCCCGGCGGCAGCGCCCGCACGCCGCGACGCCCACTTCGGCACGCCCCTCACGAGGATCGCGCCCGCTTCTTTCCTTTCTGTTCTTCTCTCTTTGCCCGCGCACTCCAAAGTCCAAAGCTGCGGGCGCAGCGCGGCGCGGAGTCCCCGCGACGCGCGCCGGTCGCCGGAAGGGTCCCAGCGACGCGCGCGGGTCGTCCGCTGCGCGGAGCAAAGAGAGCTAGCTAGCTAGCTAGTTGGCTGGCTGATAGCGGGCAAGATCTGACCGCTGGGCAGAACGACGACGGGCGAGCGAGGCGCGGGGAAGAACGCAGCACGGAGTTCCCGCGACGCGCGCTGGTCGCCCCGGGAGGGTCCCAGCGACGCGCGCGGGTCGTCCGCGGCGCGAGGCCAAAAAAATAGTTCGGCAGTCGAGACCGGGCGCGGCTCGGGGGGGGGCGCTCCTCAGGTCAGGCCTCGCGGATAAACTCGGTGAAGCCGAGCTCCCTGGCGAGGGCCGTCGCCTCCCTGCTGCACCGCTTCGTGCGCGCCGCAAACTGCTCCAGCTGCTTCCGCAAGCCCTCTGGCGGCCCTGCCAGGAAGAACTCGATGCGCAGCGCCAGCATGAGCAGGAGGTCCTCCTGGCGCGTGGCGCGCGAGAGCAGCACATAGAGCTCCAGCCACTAGTCGTCGTCCTCCTTTTTGCCGTTCCCGACCTCGCGGCGGCCGCAGTCCAGGATCACGCCTGGGCGACGTCGGCCGAGAGAGCAGCGCGCCGGACAGCCGACGGCCCAGGGCGAGAGTCCACAGGACCGAGAGATGGTCTGGCTGCAGACCGCTTGCGCCCAGTAGGTTCGGCTGTAGGGTGTGCCGAAACGTGAGCAGGGTGTGCCAAAATGGGTGTGGGGGACGCATGCGGGCGGTGGCACTGGGGCCTTCGGTGGAGCTCCCTATGGGGCCACGAAGCGTGTGAGGAGTGTGCCGAAATAGGCGTGGGGGACGCATGCGGGCGGTGGCATTGGGGCACTCAGCGGGGCTCCCTATGTAGCCACGAAGCGTGTCAGGGGTGTGCCGACATGGGTGTGGGGGGCGCATGCGGGCGGTGGCACTGGGGCCTTCGGTGGGACTCCCTGTGAGGCCACGAAATTTATGACGGGTGCCGAAATGGGCGTGGGGGACGCATGCGGGCGGTGGCATTTGGGCCTTTTGTGGAACTCCCTATGGGGCCACGAAGCGTGTGAGGGGTGTGCCGAAATGGGTGTGAGGGACGCATGCGGGCGGTGGCATTGGGGCACTCAGTGGAACTCCCTATGGGGCCACGAAACGAGTGAGGGGTGTGCCGAAATTGGTGTGGGGGACGCATGCGGGCGGTGGCACTGGGGCCTTAGGTGGGATTCCCTATGAGGTCACGAAACGTGTGATGGGCGTTGCCGAAATGGGTGTGGGGGACGCATGCGGGCGGCATTGGGGCCTTCGGTGGAACTCCCTATGGGGCCACGAAACGGGTGAGGGGTGTGCCGAAATTGGTGTGGGGGACGCATGCGGGCGGTGGCACTGGGGCCTTCGGTGGATCTCCCTATGGGGCCACGAAACGAGTGAGGGGTGTGCCGAAATGGGTGTGGGGGACGCATGCGGGCGGTGGCACTGGGGCCTTCGGTGGAGTTCCCTTATGCGGCTACGAAGCGTGTGAGGGATGTGCCGACATGGGTGTGGGGGACGCATGCGGGCGGTGGCAGTGGGGCCTTCAGTGGAGTTCCATATGGGGCCACGAAATTTATGAGGGGTGCCGAAGTGGGCGTGGGGGACCCATGCGGGCGGTGGCACTGGGGCCTTCGGTGGAGTTCCCTATGGGGCCACGAAACGAGTGAGGGGTGTGCCGAAATGGGTGTGGGGGACGCATGCGGGCGGTGGCACTGGGGCCTTAGGTGGAGTTCCCTCTGCGGTTACGAAGCGTGTGAGGGATGTGCCAACATGGGCGTGGGGGACGCGTGCGGGCGGTGGCACTGGGGCCTTCGGTGGAGCTCCATATGGGGCCACGAAACGTGTGAAGGGTGTGCCGACATGGGTGATGATGTTGGTGATGATGACGGTCGTGATGATGATGGCGATGATGATGACGATGATGGTGATGATGATGATGATGATGATGATGATGATGATGTTGACGCTGATGGTGAGGATGATGATGGCGATGACGATGATGATGATGACGGGAGGAAAGGGGAAGGGGAATATGATGAGGAGGAGAGGAGGAGGAGAGGAACGCGGGGCGACCTCTCTTCAAAACGAGTACCCAACACCACAGGATGGTTGTGAAAAAATCGAGGTTGGAGGTTTTCAGGCTGGAGTTTAAATTATGTTGTTTCGCTTCTGGGAGGCCTCTTGGAGGCCTCTCCTCGTCACGGCCGGATCCGCGGCTGCCGTCGACGGCGGAGCAAGAGGAGGACAGGGGAGGGGGGGACGGCGCGGAGGAGGAGGAGGGGGAGGAGGGGAGGGACGGTGTTCCTTCCCACCTCGCGATGTCCGACGCCTTTTTCTTTTGGGGCGCCCTGCTGTGGCCTCTGGGAGGCTTTTCCTCGTCACGGCTGGATCCATCCACCTCGAGATGTTGGTCCGAGCGTGCCACAGGATGGGTCTGGGTGTCGACTTTTCAGCCCCCCCGACCCGTACCCCCTTGCGCCGTGAACGAACACTTGTTTCGTCGGCGGCGAGGCACAGTAGCTGCTCCACAGTTGGTGGCGATTCGGGGCGACCAAGAAGCGAATTGGCCAGCGTGCCAGAGGGGGAACAAGGGGGAAGGGGCGGGAGGACCGGAGGAGGAGGGCCATCAGGCGCGGAAGAGTTCCATGTCGAGTGGGCCGGTGCGGCCAGCAGCGGCAGCGGGGCCGTGGCGTGAACGAACACACGAGGCAATGTGTTTGGCCGTT